TAGCGTACCTTCCAGCGTACTTTCAGGCGTCCCTTCTAGCGTACCTTCCAGCGTACTTCCAGGCGTCCCTTCTAGCGCACCTTCCAGCGTATCTCTGATTACGTCAACCATCTACACTACCTCAGTCTACACTATCACTTCTTGCGCCCCTACTGTTACAAACTGCCCGGCCAGTATCGGACAAGTCACAACAGAATCGATCCCCGTCTCCACTACAGTCTACCTCCTCTCTTCAGCTACAGTTTATCCAGTCTCTTCAGTCGCGACGTCTGGACCCGCACCAAGTGCACCTGCAGTACTTGTTACATCAACAATCTCTGTTACAAAATATCACACCATCACTGCTTGCGCCGCTTCAGTCAAAAGCTGCCCGGTGGGCTCCGTTACATCGACTGTTGTTCCAGTCACGACAACCGGTTACGAATCTACATCTACAATATACAGCACTGCCTCATACACCATCTCATCATGTCCCGCATCTATCAAGAGCTGTGCCGTTGGTGATCTCACCACGACCGTTCATGCAATTTCGACAAGGACACTCATCGTGCCGAGCGCTCCTGTAGCTGCACCCACAACTTTCAAATCTACAGCTGCGAGTGGGACATTACCTGTTAGTGGATCTGGAGCCGGTGGTGCTTCGAAAACAACTTCTATCCCCTTGCAAGTCACTGCTGCAGCCGGACGTGTTGCTGGCGGATATGAGATGGCAGCAGCTGCTGCTGGTGTGGTCGTTGTTGCATTACTTTGAGGAAATGAGCAAGGGTTAATGTTTAATGTAGTCGCACTTATCGTACAAATATCCATCATATGTTAATATGAACAATTCAATTCTTATAGCCAAATATTGATCTTGTCCTTGTATTGTGTTTTAGGCGATTTTATATCATAAGTAATTACGTGCTGCAGTTTAGTTTAGTAGTGTTTAGCGCCGGGGGAGAAGGGCCTAAGCTATATGTTCTATGAAGTTTGACTTATGCCAAGCCTCACGGCCCTGCGGAACTGTTGGGTGTTTGCTTTCTAGAGACCGCTATTAGCTTCTTCGAGTCTTCATCACACTTGAAACTTTGCCTTTTGCCGGAAGTTACTGATATGTTTGTTTAGGGCGACCGAGCCCAGGCAGGAGGTGGTCATCACATCTAAGAGACCCAGAGATGAAGATGGCTCTGTAAATGCCAATGCTTCACAGTCCAAGAACCAGCGGCACAACAACAATGAAGCTTCTTCGAATCCCCCAAACAATCTACTGCACGCAGACACTCCGAAACCAATGACGAAATCGCAGAAGCGTAAGAGCAAGAGAACCCCTGCATGGCCTGCTAGGAGAAAAGAACCGAATGAGTTACGCCTCATCAAAATTGGAAAGGAGATCAACGCACGACGCAATGGAATCAAAGCCGAGGTTGAAGGGGGTGGAGATGCAGACACTCCGAAAGCCATCACAAGTTTCAAGAAAACGGCTGAATTGGCAGAGTCTACCCCGAAATCAGAGATCAATGAACCCTCGAACGTAGAGACACTTGCGGCAACGACCATTTCGACCGTGATTTCCGAAGAATCATCATTGTTATTGCGGTTGAAGGGTGTGTCGGGCGCAGCTAGAAAATTAATCCCGGGCTATGAGGCAAAGGTCAAGGAGGAGGAGGACGTTGAGAAACAAGGGGCAGAGATCATGATGAAGAATCTGCAACGACGTTGAAAGAAGGAGCAGGCGAGGCATGCGAAGCTGGAGAAGGAGTAGATGCTTGCGTTGATTGTTAAATCATCCAAAGAGAAAACACCCGCCCAAAAGCTCATTTCTCAGAACAAGCGACGCCTCCAGCGGATTGCTCATTGGAAGTTGACACATGCTGATGGCAATGTTAGCGACGAGTATTCTGATGTCGATACGGATGAACAAGGCTGGGATATCCCCGAGTCCGTTTCGAGAAAGACGGCCATCGAGCTGAACCAATGTCCTCCACAGTCAACTGAACAGTCATAGATACCCAGAATTGCAGCAAGATAGGCGGATCTTAATTCTTTGCTTACGAATTCTTCACATTGCCGGAGTAGGATTGAAGATCCTAGAAGTCTAGAAATTCACAGCTACCCCTCGAATCAAGAGAATCGGGCCCTCGAATCCCAATTTCCGTTTTGAGCTTTCATCACCTGCAATTTTAGCGGACGAGTCCTATTTATCTAAAATGCAAAAAAGAAGCGGAGCGAAGCTAAAGATTATTTAATACGCTTTGAAACTTGGTGATACATTTATGAATGTAAAGTTCGTCTATCATCGTTTAGGGGCGACTTTTCCTTAAAGGCCTATCCTGGTCACGCGAAGTGCTAAGTCCAGCCATAATGGATGAACTCAAACGCTGAGAGGGAGATATTGATATACTGTGATACTGGCCAGCATTAGAAGTTCTGGGCGCATATTCATTGGGAGATAAGGTGCATTATTCATCAAATTCAAAAGGCTTGATTTCAGGAAGCAACTTGCTTGCATTTCATTAATCGATTGATCATTACTCATCAACACTGCTACATCAGCATCCAGAAACCATAGATTCCAGCTCCCTAATTCACAAATTCAAACCTTCAACTTCTCCAACCACTCATCCGCGTTCAAAACCTGGCCCCTCTTCTTAAACACCTGCTCCATCAACACCTCATGAACAGGCTCCTCATCCACACACAAATCCTTCAACACCGTGATCCCAAAATCCCTATCAAACGCCTCCACAACCGTCGCCAGCACCACCCCACTCGTGCTAATCCCCGCCAAGACCAGCTTCTCGACCCCTAGGCCCCGCAAAACGACATCGAGTCCACTTCCCGTAAACGCGCTCACGCGTTTCTTCTCCACGAGGATGTCGCCTTCCACGGGCGCGATGGCCGCCTCGATCTGTGTCTCTGAGGAGCCGGACACGAAGAGGTTGGCCGAGACAATGGGGCCGAAGATCGGGTTTGAGGCCGACACTTCCGGATGCCCGGGGCGGAAGGCTACGGTGATGTAGATTACCTTGGTGGAGGGGTGGGCGCGGGCGGCGGTTATAGTTTTTTGGAGGTTTTGGAGGTAGTTTGGGGGGGCGGCCATGCGGCTCACGATGCCGGCTTGGACGTCCATTACTAGGAAGGCGGTTTCGGCCATGGTGGGCGATGAGAAGGGATGTTGTTGGTGATAGTAGGTGGGATTGTTTTCTTGGCTTGTAGAAGGGATTTCTGGGGGAGAGAAAGAGAGGAATATTTGTATATTTTCGTCCAAGTTTGGGTTATGTATATACCTTTGTTGGACATCGCAGCCTAGTACGGAACGGAGTTATGCTAGAGGCGCTTTAACCGATTAAATCCGTGGGCGCCGGCGCCTGTGATTGGATCGGGCAGAATTAAAGTTAGGTCCCGCGAATCGCGGTTTTAAGAACTTCGCTATAACGTTTCCGACTAAGACCGCGAATTGGAAACTCAAGGGTCTGGAAGATAATTCGCACATTAGATATAAAAGTTTTGAGGAGAGTGATAGTGTGTTTTACTTGTTATCCGTCACTATTCAAAACCGGTGATACTGTAAAAAACGACAACTCTTCTCTCGCAGCTCTTCGAACTATATATCTCAACCAGGTATACGAATAGAACTACAGGCTTGACCATGCCACCAGAGCTTGAACGTAATGATATTGAAGCAATCGCGGAGCAAAAGCTACCAACAGAGATTGACGAAGGCACTGCAGCGTCATCATCCGAGCCAGTGTTCTCAATTTACAGCGTCAATGAAAAACGATTCCTCGTCTTCCTTGCGGGGTTAGCTGCATTGTTCTCTCCTCTTTCAGCAAACATCTACTATTCCGCTGTCAATACTCTAGCTTCAGACTTCGATACCAGTCTCGGCAATATTAATCTGACAATCACAACATACCTCGTAAGTATTCCCAACTAATTCATCGGGCTGAAATGTGATGCTAATAGTGAGCAGATATTCCAAGGAGCAGCACCAACTTTTGTCGGGAGTCTTTCCGATAGCTATGGTCGACGTCCTTTATACTTGGCTTGTTTTGTCATCTATATGATTGCCAACATCGGTCTAGCAACTCAGGATACATACGCTGGACTGCTCATTCTCCGTATGCTGCAGTCCACGGGAAGCAGCGGGACAGTCGCTTTAGCAAGTGCACTTGTTTCCGATTTGGTGACGTCCGCACAGCGAGGAAGCTACATCAGTTATGTGACTATGACGGCCATGGTTGGCCCTTCGTTTGGACCTGTTATTGGAGGTCTGCTGGACAAGTATCTTGGCTGGCGTGCAATCTTCTGGTTTCTTACAATCTTCGCCGGCGCCACTTTTATACTCATTTTCGTTGTTTTGCCGGAGACTTGCCGTCGGGTGGTGGGTAATGGCTCTATCCCAGCGCCTCTGTGGAATACTTCATTGCTCAGTTATTTGCGCTTGAGGAAACAAAGGAAAGCAGGTATTCAACCAACTTCCGTTCAAGGAATTGCCTTCACCAAACGTGCAAGTCCGATTCAGTCACTATATATCTTATTTGATAAAGAGTCCGGAATCGTGCTCCTGTACGGCGCCTTCTTCTTCTGCGGCTTTTACATGGTGCAGACTGGACTTCCCGGGCAGCTTCAAGACCACTATGGTTACAATTCCCTGCATATCGGTCTCTGCTACATTCCATCCGGCTTGGGTAGCATGACCGCCGCATTCGTAATGGGACGATTCCTAGACTTCAATTTCAAGCGCCACGCAAAGCGTCTGGGCTTCGAGTTCTCCAACACCCGACAACAAGATCTGCGAAACTTCCCCATCGAACGCGCGCGTCTCGAAGTAGTGTTCCCCCTCGCCTTCGCCGCGGGCTCGACGGTCATTGCTTTAGGCTGGTGTATGGAGAAACACGTCTTCATTGCAGCGCCTCTAGTATTCATGTTCCTCTCTACCTTCTTCATGTCGTGTACGTCTTCGGGGCTACAGACGATGATTGTGGATCTGAATCGGGATAGTCCTTCTAGTGCTACTGCGGCGATGAATCTGGCGCGGTGCTGGTTGGGCGCTGCGGGTGCTGCGGCTGTGGTGCCGCTGCTTGGTGCTATTGGGTTTGGATGGGTGGCTGTTTTTGTGGCGGGGATTTGGGCGTTGATGAGTCCGGTTGTGCTTTGTGTTATTAGGTGGGGTCCGGGGTGGAGAGAGGAGAAGAGGGTTAAGGCGGAAGAAAAGGAGGCGCAGGCCTCGACTGCTATATAAGCTGAGTCGATGTAGAAGGAAGTGATGAAAACTGCTTTCATATAGCTGTTAGTTCTACAATCAATGAAAGTGGAGTTGTAGCAGGGCCGCACCTTGCAATACGTTAATGCAAAAGGGGAAAACTTCCTTCCTGTTAGCACGAGCTTCTCTCATATATATTCCGGTTCATTCGTGAATCTGACTAGTTTAGTCGTGAATCTACGCTAAGATTTACGAATGAACGGGATTCACGTATAAACTAGTTTATTCATGAATTATGGTGGTTTACTCGTAAATGCGCTAAGATTCATGAATGAACCGGAACATATGTCTTCTCAAGCGATGAGTTTTGTTTCTTGAATGACATTTTCAAGAATATAATTAGTGGTACGATTGTGAATCGGGGATGACTAAATACCAAACGGGTCCAAATATAACATTGATTCCTGAAGGAAGTAGCGCTAGTATTATAATGTAAGTTGAACAAAGGCGATAAACAAGATGTCCAAATAAGAAGATAATGTAGCCTATCATCATATCTATCTCTTCGAAAGGATTCGCTCAAGTCGAATTTTCAAGAAAACAATCCTTCAGAGACACAAAAGGGGGGTTGCATCACGTGACATTGGGCATTAGCTAGCATATGCAGCTCGGTCCCTCGTGGCTTGAAGGATCTCTCAATTCCAAAAGAGGCTTGCATGACCCCGAGTACAAAGAGGACGTAAAACAATGAAACAACTTTAAAAGAACGACCCACGGCGATTGTTTGGGCAGGAAATGATCAGAGGGATAAAATGAAGACTGGATGGATCGTCTCGGGTATCATATCATTCATATCACCGACGCGTTCTCGTAAGAGATTGAGTGTGTGACTGGAATTCTGGGTAGTGGGGGTGTATAAAGTTTATTGTGTGAGTAAGTGGCAGAGAGTGAGATTGAGGCTAAGGGGATAAACGAAGTTGAAGAGAAGCGACCGTCCTGCAACCGCGTGGCGGGATGGAAACAAACATTTCTTATCTTTATATCCTTTATCCACCGTTATCACTCACTCCAGAATCCTTTGCATATACTTCGTACTGTACTGCACATCGTCCCATCTTGCATAGGTTCCCACTGTATGGCGAAATAACACATGGCAACAAGCCAATAATGACTCTGAGGCTTTTTCTGTAAATAGACTTGGAGGCGCGTACAGACTGTGCTTCGTACTATAGGTAATTACGGTAAATCGGTGATTTGATTACAAGCGAGTTGTGCTTTTCATCCCTGAAAGTGTGGAGTTGGGTAATTTTATATCGCCCAGCGATTGGCTGCTATGGATACCTTGTACCTGACTTGTCCTACTTTGGGTCTAGCTTAATACTTAGTGGCGGGCTAAAGTACCGCTGTACCTTGCATAGTGGGGATTAGCCAAATTCGCTCTCCAATCAAGCTGGCACTCGCCCAATTCACCTATTCACATCACCTTCCTTTTCTCGCGCACTCCCGACCTTCCTGTCGCTCCCTTCCCTCCCTCCTCTCTTCCACCTCCTCTGCTCGACTCTCCCCTCCCCTCACCCTCATCGCCGTCTTCCTCTTCGACGAGTCCATCATCAATATCGCCATTTACGCGGTCGTCCTTCTTTTACCGACTCGCATTCGATTGTTGATTGTCGACCTGATTGTTTTCCGCTCCTAATAAACAATCCATCACACTCTTTTACCGTAATCACAATCGTTGAATTGTTTCCCACCACATTCTCTATTTGCGACAATACACGAATACAACGCAAAGCCTCACGAGAACGTCTATGCGTCCAGCTCGTTGAAACGATAATACCTTAATTCGATCCATTGCAGCCTACAACATAATACCAAACACGAGATCACGAAGCTGAGCGCGTAAAACACCATGGCTTTTCACGATCACTTCCACCGTCGCCACGGCGCACGCGCTGCTATGCCTGAAATGGTCGCCAATGAGCCTAGAGCACCCGTCGCAAATCCAGATCCTGCCCAAACTCTTGTATCGGTGGTCTACGTGACGGCCGCTCAAACTTTTGATGGCCCGGTTGCAGGATACACCACTGTTGGTCAATCTGCTGATTCCACGACTGCTGCGGCTGTGGCCGCGGCAACAAACACTGAACAGGCAAATACGCAAGCTACCACGGCGCAAACCGCAGCAACATCTGCCGTGATAGCAGCCCAGTCCTCTGTCGCGAGTGTTGATGATAACAGCTCAATTGCTACAGCTACGTCAGATAGCAACACGTCAATTGTTGCTGCAAGCTCCGATGCCTTGTCGAGTTCCATGCCAACCGAGATTTCTACTCCTGCTTCGTCCCTCGCATCCCTCGCAAGTTCGGTCCCCATTCTTGCCGCCTCTACCACTCTAGCTTCTTCGCATAAGGCTGCTGCGGCTGCGGTGTCATCAGTATCAGGTACAGCAGCAGCAGCCTCCGCAAGCTCGTCATCTACAAGCGCATCCAATTCTGGGGGTATGAGTGCTGGTGGAAAGGCTGGATTGGCGATTGGTCTGTTGTTACTTTTCGCTGCTGTCCTGTCCATCGTCCTCTTCTGTTTCAAGAAGCGTAAAGATCAGCAAAAGCAAAAACTTGCCGATAATGAGAAGAACGATCCGTTTGCCGATGGTATTGGTAGAGCAGCCAGCGTCCAGACTACCCGAACAAACCCTAATGCACCACGTCTATCTCTTCGTCCAGTTACTCAATTCTTGCCCAACCTTACTCCCCAGAAGCGCCAGAGCCGTGGCAATGTTCTTCAGACTGCCGAGCAAGTGGCACCAATGTCTGAGAAGACTTACAACGAGAGACCTATAACCCCACAGGCTGACAACGTTGCCAACCCCTTTGGTACTCATGCTGAGACCATCGATACAACCAATCCTTTTGGCAACCATGCCGAGACCATTGATGCGACTAACGCCAGCGGTCCAGCTGAGGTTCACGTCATGAGCCCCACTGGTGAAATTGTGGCCGCTGCAACAGGTGCTCCAAGTACCCCACCTAGCAGCACTGCCATTCCTGTCGGCATTGCTCTTGCTCGTGGAGCATCTAAGCGTGAGAATGGACGCAAGGAGATGGACTTTACCAAGTCTGGTCCTTTCAGAGGTCCTCCAAGTCCTGCTGGTACTGAATTCAGCATCAACTCGGATACCACCTCAACACCAGCCCAGACTGAAACTGGAGCTGCTATCGCCGCCGCTGGAGGTCCTGCTAACAGCGCTGTCCATCGCGTCCAACTTGACTTCAAGCCTTCTATGGAGGATGAACTTGAATTGCGCGCCGGTCAGCTGATCCGTCTCTTGCATGAGTATGATGATGGATGGGTGAGTTTCCTTTTCACGTTTTATTAATTGTCAACTAATCAAATTAGGCCCTTTGCATCCGTCTCGATCGCGCTCAGCAAGGTGTCGTCCCAAGAACCTGTCTCTCAACCCGCCCTGTCAAGCCTCGCCCACAGCAAAAGGGTCCTCCAACTGCCCGAGGACCACCACCCCCACCAGGCATGCGTGTTCCTCAACAGGGCCGCCCCATGCCACCTGCCATGAACAACGGACCTCCTCGCTCACAGTCACCATCCGGAAGACCAATGTCACCTGCTATGAACAATGGACCTCCTCGTTCGCACTCACCTTCTGGCAGGCCCATGACTCCCAATGGATCTCACCCGAGAGGTCCACCAAACAACCAACAAGGCCGTCAGCGCAGCGGATCTGCCTCCCAGGTGCAAGCTAGACGAAACAGCCCCCCTGGGCCAAGTCGGATGAACCCAAATGCACCACCATCTGACGGCAGACAATCTTCTGAACCCCGCGGTCCCCCAGCCCGAAAACCAGTTCCAGGTCAAGCTCTATGATTGTACTTCCCATCTAAAAATGCAACTTGGGATAGGAAAGACATTACATTGAGTTACCGGCGTTCTTGGGTGGTTGGATGGGCTATTTGGAGCGGAGTGACGAGCGAATGACGACAATCGGATGTTCTCTTGTACAGATCAAATCTTCAATTTCCTTTTATCATTTCCTTTTTCTCGTCGATTTGAGAGACTTCGATTCTTGAAGCAATTTGCACCACTGCTATCTGGAAGTGCACTTTGTGGAGGCAGATACACACACTGACCTTATACATCTTACGTTATTGATGGCGCGAAGCAAAAAAGACAATAATGTGTATCTAATCAATCGTCCTCAAATTTTTATATCACTTTCTTGCCATGGTGGATTTTTGGGGTTGAGATGGAAGTCGTGGAGGACGGATGGAAGCTGAGCTGAGCTTGCTATGGATGATGGGAATTATGGGGGGAAGAAATGGGGATGAGGAAGTGTAGATAGAAGAAATATTCGCATATGAACGATGGATGGTTTACGAGTCCGCTTCTTGTGTACTATGTGTTGTGATGTGATGATTTGCCTGTATAGCGCATGGCTGTGTGCTGGACTGCTGAATGCTAGGGATACCTCGTGATGATGATAATATTGCTCTTGATCCGGGTATTGTAAAACCGTACAGTATCAAATCGGTCCATTTGATTTTGACATTCTGCTTTGCAATCCCTTGATCATTCCAAAGCATAAAAGAAAGCTACCCTTGACCTGGATCTTATCTCCATGTCATATATGTGGTCTACGACGAAGAACATTACGGGATATTCTAGTTACACGTATGTTAGCACAGGAATACATATTAAAACTCGGATGGCTCATTATTACAAGTTCAGATATACTTACTTCCAGCCAGCTGAAGCTATTCATCTACATTATCACATGTGGAATTTGCCAAGCGTAGTGGAAGACTTGTTGTTAGATCTAGATCTCCTAGGGAATCGTGTATGATATCTGGAGTCGGCTCTAGGCTAGGAAACGCTTAGAGTGATGATGTAAGAGGAGGGGTGTGGAGTGGTAGATATGTAATAATCAGCGTAGATATCAATTAGTAAATGATAGATAGTGATATAAAAGCACAGAGATTGATTTCGCATAAACAAGTCTACGGAGCAGGACAGCCTCCTCTTAAGCTAAATTGACTTGGTGCGTTTCTGCCATCGAGGTCCTCTTGATTCGTATCCATACGCTTATACAGATTTCCGAGAGCAAACGTGGTGATTTTCCTACTGGGATAGTGCATGTTAATCTATATCAAGGATAAAGGGGAAAGGGGAAAGGGGAACTTCGGCTAGGAGCTTTACTATACTAGAATAGGAAAGGCCAAGCGATAAAACATGGGTCGATTTACGCTTACTCCACTTATTTTCTTTAATGGTCACATGTAGTGAAATAGGCGTGTTATCTCAAAACATCAGGGAAGATGGCCGAGTGGTTATGGCGTGTGGCTCAAGATACGATTTCGTATCTTTCTGATCTAAAGATCAGTGAGACTTCTCATAGGGAAACCTGCAGGGGTTCGAATCCCCTTCTTCTCATCATAACTATTTTGACTTTTGATATAATTTTTGGTTTGCGGCTTTGATAGCCGAAGCGATGCGAGCGGGTGTTGCAATGATCGATGTTTTGATTGCTTGAGAGGATCTGAGAATCCATCTTGGATGCAGAGATTTTGTGGCGTCTAGCACTACACGTGACCAGCGAACCTTGATTTTTGACCGCGGGATCTAAAATCGGCTGATTCAGCTCGAGCAAAAACTCTTACTAAGTAAGTTGGAACGCATACCGACCATAGCGTAGCTTAGTCAGCAAAGAGGCATAACTGAACCTCTTTTCGCGTCTACACCACCATGAATGCTAAGCAACATCAACCAGTATCAAGTCTACTATGTAGTATAGAAGTGATCACGCATATCAACACCTGTGATACCAACAACTTCTTTACTCTTTAAAGTTTCCTTATATCTACCAGTTTCGTCACGATCTAATCTGATCTCTTAAAATCGCACATTTACATAACAATCTATATTGGTTTAAAAAGCAAGACAAATACGAAAGTAAGCTAACTACTAAGTATAAGAACAACTTATATAGAAATCCTTATCCTGATCTCTAAAGAGCAACGAATTCCTACGACTTCTACAACTCATCACCCTCCTTCTATAACAAAACCAAAGCCAAGCTATAGTACATAAAACTCTCTCCAAACCAAGAGTCAGCCTACTCTACTAATCCCGCAATGTTCAATCTAAGCCACCCAAGCAATACCAACATCTCTCTTAGCAGCCTCAGCCGCTGCATCAGCCGCTGCATCATCAGTGCAAGAGTCGTCGTTATTTCCATTTCCCAGGCAGCCCGTGGCGCAGTATTGGATGAAGCTGATATCGCCATGCTCGAGACAGGTCCAGAGCGACTCGAGTCGGTATTGCTGCGTGTCCGGTTTGTCGTTGGCTTTTAGGTTGGTGTCCAGCTTGGTGATGTAGTCGCCTGTATACGCAGAAATGGGGTGTTAGAATTTAAGTGCTTTTGAAGACTTGCGTGGTAGGGGATGGGATAGCGCTTGTTTGAGGTTTGGGGAATTGGTCGATCGGGGGAAGAGAGATACGAGACTGGGGTCTGGAAAGAAAGGAAGAATGAAAGAAAAGTGATGATAACTTACCCCGGTCAAGGAGGCTTTTACCGCAGTAAATGCCACCCCTTTTGCAGCTCTTAGCAGCTACCAAGGTGGAGAGCACCGAGGTGAGGACAATAGTCATAGTGGATAGTTGAACCATTTTGAAGGTAGATATGAGTATGGTTTTTGAGATATAAATTTGTTGGTAGTTTCTTGAGTATTGTTTGAGATTGGATTGCAAGTAAGAAGGAAGTTGTTGTTAATGATGAGAGGTGAAGAATTGTTCTAGAGTAAAGGAAACGGTCTCATATATACCTGAAATTCGGCGTCAAGAACGTGTATTATTCAAATAGTAGATCATTTGACCTAACTCCTAAGATTACAATTCCTGACCCAAGATGTCTTTGGATCAATCCTATGGAGGATTCATCATACGCAGGAGTAGATAGCAATTCCCCTTCAGCTGCTTGGCATAAGGGAAGTAAGACCAACAATTGTGCCTGTGATTACCCTGGAAAGAAGTGAGGTATACGAGAATGATGTCATAGAGGGTTCTTCGTCGGTCACAATACTAGGAGATGACTGGACTTGGATGAAAATGCCAAGATAGTATAGTGTCTCTCTAGACTTGGCGTTGAAAGGATTGTAGTATTGAAAAAACGAAGGTGTTGAAGGCTACTTGTAGAGGTTGCGGCAAGGTTCCACCATAGCCCTCGACGAGCATGTCTTACCAAAGTCCGTATAGGATTCTAACCCGTCACTTTCTAATTGTCTCGACAAGGACTTAGAAGGAATCATAAAAACCAGACTTGACTTAGACGAATTTATCAGATTACCTCTCTTCCTATTTAGATATATAAGAGCTGAATGGATCATCTTGACCCGATCTGGTAACTCATAGCTCGAGTCACACTTGAATCCTACTCCAACTAGGATTGAACCCTTATATGAATTAATAGGAGCTTTACCGCAAATGGCAACTACTCTAAAGATAAATGAGATTACCATAGTTTACTACGCCTTTGGGCAAAGCTATTATAGGGCACATTGAGTTTCAAGGTTAAGCTACTATATAACCTATACCGAGCCTCCTCGATTTCTAATTACCCTCCTTGACAGCTTTGAATTAGGCTAGGCTAGTTAGAAATAGTTAAGTGGAAAACTGCTAAAAATTCTCAGGAGAGTAAGAGATATGTGTGGCTGAAAATAAGGATAGGTGAAGTGGAAATAAGATCTAGAATATCTTAAAATTTCTGATAATTACTAATAAGGGGGCGGGGAGAGGCAAGTGTCAAAAGTCAAATCCTTTTAGGGATGCATCTTATTAATTGAATCTTAACTTGTCACATTCAAGGAGTTGCCTAATATTAGAATGCTTGTGGATTCGCTTTCTACCATACAGGATTGTTAATGATCAGCCTTATACGGTACAGTGCCATAAGTTCACTATTGATAGCCTTTAGCAACCTTATCAAGGTGGAGATAGGCTCTGCGGTTGTCGTAAAGTCCCACTTAAATATGAAGGATTTAGAGTTGATCCCTGATTTGGCAGCTTCGTATAAGGTTACAAGGGGCTGACGCAAGGTTACATTCTAAATTCTGAGCCGCAATCGTGTATATAAGCTGGGGGCTGGTGAGGGGCAGCAGAATCCTTCAAGGAAGCGAATTTTGAAAACGATGAATCTATGTATGTTTTGAGCATGCTACTCGTATAATTCCTATGGGATTTCAACGACTTGGTTGGTGTTTCACAAAAAGGAGTATATGGCACAGAACTTTGACGTCATATACTTTTACACTATTATTATCAAAGGATAAAGTAGGATTCTGGCATATTGGTCAGCGTTTCAAAAAGAATTGGAAATAGTACAGTATCATTAACCTATAGTTGACGAATGCTGGGAATCCTAGAGGAATTGAGAGGCAAAGTTTCCAAGCCTGGGTGGTTCGGAAAGGGCTGTAGAATAAACAATGTATTTTGTAAGATCTTCCTTACTGTTTGCTATTAACCTAGGTTATCTTTCCAGACACACACAACTGCTTTTTCATCTCAGTGTGTTTGATGGTCTTGTTAAGTTGCATAAGAATTTTAACACCCTCCCTATCATATTCTCTTCCTGTTGAATTAGCTCTTCTTACATGTTACTGTTCCACGATACTCTTTACGCAAACAAACCAGAGATGGCACATCCTCAGCTTGGTACGTATAGTTATGCAGAGATAAACATAGTCTAATAGCTAATGACGTCACAACATATAGCAGAGGCAGAGGAGTCGCTTTCTTCCTTTGAAGATAGTCTTAGGTGTCGGAGTAGCTCCAGTGATAGTAGCTGGAAAAACCTACCTCGTGTTGAATGGAAACAATATATACGGGCAAACTCTGCGAAGAAGTTTTATAGAAAGAGTTGGTTCTATGTCACTGCTTCTCTGCTTGTTCTTGGGGTCATTGCTACATTGTCAGTACTTTCCCCAAATATGTCTTGGGGAACTTCAAAAGCTAACCATGATTGTTTATAGGTCTTGGCTATCATTAGCTCTTAGCCTCCCTCAACGTAATAAACCTAGGGCTTCATCGAACAGAGTCAATTCTCTCGTCGAGGATTGGAATACACCAGAAGATTCCGTGGGTCTCCTTTCACCCTGGAATATAGACTTTACCAAAGGCATTGTTCCATTGCAGTGTCATTCGCATAATGATTATTTTCGCGCCGTTCCTCTTTTCGAAGCTCTAGCAGCCGGTTGCACAGGCGTAGAAGCAGACATACACCTTCCAACAAAAGCAGGCAGTGAAGACCTATTAGTAGGCCACGCTTCAAGTTCCCTATCACAAGACCGAACACTCCAGAAATTATATATTCAACCCCTTATCACAATTTTGGAGAACCTGAACAATGTCTCTGCCGTTTCAGATGGTAGTAATTGGAATGGCATCTTTCAATCGAGTCCAAACACCACGCTAATAGTCCTCCTGGATTTCAAATCCAACGGCATTGAACTCTGGCCTTATGTAAATCAGCAGCTTGAGGGTTTCCGGTCCAAGGGCTGGCTTACTCACTGGAACAGTTCAACTGGGATCACTTGGGCTCCAATCATCGTTGTCGCGTCCGGAAATGCCCCTTTCAATCTTCTCAATTCCAACACTACCTACCGCGACATTTTTTATGATGCTCCTCTAGACGATATTTCAAACCCCATCTACGATAATACGAACTCGTACTATGCTAGTGTCTCGATGCCCCACGCCCTTGGAAAGCAATGGCTTTGGAAATTCAGTCCCGCACAGTTGGCGAAGATGAACAAGCAAATAAATGCAGCGAGTATGAAAGGTCTCAAAGCTAGATACTGGGAGACACCGACGTGGCCTGTGAATTTCAAGGATTATGTTTCGGGAATTCTTATAGAAAACGGGATTGGGATGTTGAATGTTGATGCTTTCTCTTCTACTTTGTATTTCCCCTTGCTGACTAAATTTGGTCAAAATCGACTTGTATGGTAATTGAGAAATAAATGCAAATGAACCTTGGTCCTATGAATATGCTTCAGATTTAAGTAGAGCACCAATAACATACTACACCTCATCATGCGACTCAAAGGCCTGATGTGATAGAAGAAAACTTTGCAGTGTTAAAACTTGTTCATTTTGGCCCTCGCTTTATAGATCTCTTCGTTAAATCAGCTGGAAACTAGCTATTATGTTAATGGTGTATAACGCGATACTTTAGCTCTAGAGACTGCTGAGCCGGTGCTACACTAACAAGTTCTCACATTGTTTAATCTATAGTTCTCAGACTAATAAAATGTAGAACTTTGCAATTTCTTATTCAAGAGACCCTTAAATGTAGAATATAAAAACAGCTATAGTTTCATAGAAATCAAACGAATAAACCCCTCTCAATCTAACATTCTTGCCTATAATATGAACCACATCCACCAAACATTTTATCCTCCATCTCAACAACACATTTAACTCATCAAAACTTGGAGGCCTAAGTAGGGCATGCCACGAATCCAGCAGGATCATGACGCATAACACCACAGAACTTGACCTTAAATTGCTTGTCATCCTTATCATTGTATTCAAATACAACACGATCCGGGGTAGTAGTCACGCCGTCTCCGGCATATGGTTTCCCGTCCATCTGAATGGGGAATTCCATCTTATTTGTGCCACATGGAAAAGGAATCTGTTCTCCGTTTCCAAAGACATGGGGATAGTTTCCTGCATGGTTTTTAACGCGGTTTCTTTTCTTAAGTTGGCAGGTAATTGTATTAGGAAGGGGAGGGGGGATGGAAATGAAGCCTTACTGTCACCAATCTGCTTTCCTTCGGCTGCCAATGTCGCTCCGGTGAGAAAGGCACTTTTGATCTGGTTGACCGAGTATGGGAATTCCGGGTAGTTTCGTGGTGGTGCTTGGCCCGGGGGTGCTGCTGGGCAGGTGACGGGTGCCTCTGGGTACTGCCCTACTGAAACTGTACGGCCATTGCCTCGACGAACGCTCAAAGCAGGTGACTGAAGTTCCGCTTCGATGGTGCTCGCTGGGAGAGCGCTGGTGAATGTGCCTCCAGCGACGAGAATGAGTGTGAGAAGGGAGCCTGGAGAATGCATTTTGTCTTTGTGGGGGTTAGAGCTATGGGATAGATAATATAGAATAATAGAATTGATGGGTTCTGGGAGTCTGTTCAAATAAAGACACTTTGGGCCACTGAGTCTTTCATATACTTTTTGCAAATCCCTACTTCCAGCTACAGCTCGTCAACTCAAAAGAGAGAACTCTTATCTACACACAGCCACCTATATCGAGTTGTCTATACGTGAAGATCCTTTCATTGCTACATAGCAATATACGACATACTATGTTCCACGCGGAAGGAAGCTTCACTGCCTCGAAGTGATTAGAATAGACTTATAAGAGGATTTGTGTCTAACCAGCATCAATGCCAAGTTCCTTTAAATACATTCTTTCAAATCCTTGGAGCTTTCATCCTAGGGATGCTTAATGAAAATAATATATGCTAGACTATACTATAATGAAGTTTAACACTGATTGTAGGATTTATAGACAACTTTAACCTTTTTTAACATTGATAATAAAATACTTAGGATGTGGCCTTATATATATAGCCAAGAAGTATACTAGGGCATAGCCTCCCACCTTAGAGATGTAGCATAGGAGATTTAAAGATCGATCTTATTATAATGTTAGCAATGATGCCCTACGTATTATTATATGCCTATTATTCATCATATAATATGTTTTACTAAACCGTAATCCTATATAGATGACATGATAATATATATTAGACTATGATTCAATTAAATTATAGGATTGATAATTACTAATCAATGGAATATTCGCTCATCCCTACTCCACACTCATACTTCTTTTCATGTGTGTTATACGAGGCCCGGGGTTTGACTGAGATAAGACAAATCTTGGCTACTTTGTACAACCACTGCATTTAGCGTCGCCGCATCACCGCATCATTGCATCGGGCGTAATATGGACGCACTACCATCCTGCGGAGTTTAGGATCATCATTGCATAATACGAAGTGTGACAAATCCTTCTATGGATGATGTCACTAAAATAGATGTTGATAGTTACGCCTGCTCCTGCCTTTATGTTGCAGATTGAGTATACCCCGTGACACGTAATTGAATCCTTCTAATGTGTATAAAGTACAAACAAAGCATTTTGAGTAGGCATCTATCATCTTCTCCATCAACTGGTCAGTTCTTGATTCATTTCCACTCTCCAGCCTAGCTCGCCATTTTTTCTAACAAAACCCAAGCCAACGCCAACACGAAACCAACACCAACACCAACACCAAAGGACATTTGATATCGACTCCACAAGCAACCATGGAGCCTACTACCCCCTACAAAGCCTTTCTCGCATCGCAAGAACAGGAAAAGTATCCCCTTTCCTCAACTCAACTATCCGCTTTGCGAACCTTCTTCTCAGACCCCTCGGTCCCAATCTCCCAGATCGCCAAGCAGATCGCAGAACCCCTCTTGGAGATTGTGGAGAAAATACAAAGGGGGGAGTCCTGCGAAGATCGCTTTGGCAGGCTCTGGCGAACGATCGCGGACGCCGTGCGGGCACTCACCAGCCTCAATGACCGACTAGTGGAGCTTGTGGTAGAGCTTCAGAGGGTCGAGGATCCGTCTGGATATATAGGAGCGATGTGTGATTTCAATGAGTATTGGCAGGAGTTTGCTTTTGACTGTAAGTCTACCAAGTCACCATACTGCACGATTTGAATGGGGTCCCTAACGAATTTGGCACCGGGTTTTAAGTTAAGGATCCGAGTTCAACAGATCTCGAACGCGATACTAAGAGGCAGGCGTGGATTAACATGAACTCGTTTTGTGCTAAGTTGTCTACGTATAATATCCCACAGTTAGACCAACGTCGGCGCGCTGGCTGGCCAATGCGCCACACGCTTGAGAAAACACCATGGGAGCACCTACCCCCTAGTCTTCAAAGCCCACCAGTTCCCGACGACCCAGAGGATCCCCTCTCAGACAAAGAACTCGAGTACGAACGCGAGATGCACGATGTCAAGAAATTGAATACCTGGGTCCCTGTTGCTACAGTCTGGATCCAAATCAACGCACGGGGTCTGTACGAGATGGAGGGACCAATGCCCGATGAGCGGGATTGGATCTCCACAAATTGGAAGGGGGAAAGAGGATGGTCGAAGGAGAGGTACGCTTACTGGAGAGCGAGGTTTGAGGCTATTGGAGACATTGGCGAGCTTGAGGAGACGACACGAGAGCTAGCCAAGGAAGCGGCGAGGATTATGAGGGACATTGAGATGGAGGGAAATGTGTAACGCTTTTAGGAGAGGTTTATAGTTAAGGATATTGGGTTATTGTCTATTTGCACATTTGCATATTTGTATATTTGCCATAATTATCGGAGCAGACCCCTCCTACAATCCGAGACGAGTGACATTTGCCTGAAAAAGAAAAAAACTTCACTTCTATACTCCACTCCGTAAACAGTAGCCATCGATTAGCTGACTTCCTGTCTGTACTCTAGTTAGCTGTTTCGCTTTTGATTAGCTTCTAACTCCCAAATAACCACCAGAATGCCAGAAATATTAGTATTAGTATATGAGAGATATCCTGCGTAGATTTCTTTGCGGTCCTAATTAGCTGTTGGGATACGTGGGTCATGACCTTAGCGCCGATGACTAAGGGACAGAGGCATAACCTGGTGTAACCACCAGAACCTCTTCGCTTCCTCATCCACACTTAGACTTACACAAACACGAATGCAACACACAGACTGGGTCTTAACTAGTAGCTAACAGCTAGGGAGAGTGATTACCATTGCTTGATACGATACCTGTGATACCAACACTAACTAACTGTGTGAGGTATTGATAAAAAGTATTATACGCTTGAAATATTATCATGACATAACGTAAGCATTGAAAAACATCTCATCATCTCACACAGGCTAGAGTTCCATCACAATCTTCAAAAGAGTGTAGTTTGTTAATCTACAAGCCGTATCATCCTAGCCAATACGAAAACGACCAAGTCATAAAGTTGCACTACGCTCTACCCCTTCTCCGACAAATTCTCTCTACCTCCCTCCCTCATAAACCCGAAGGATTATCCTGCAAATTATGAGCCATTCATATCCTCAAACATCAACCTTTGAAAAAGGTACCCGATGACCTCTTCTGCTTCATCTGTATCACCTCATACCCATACTGGTACCTCCACTCCTCCCGATACATCTTCATAGCAGCCGCCAAACCCTCCGAGAAGCCCTCCAAATATCCCACTTCGCGGCCCGCATGTATGCCGGCTCGGAAACCGTCGTAGAGGCCTTCGGCTTTGCCGCTCTGGTAGACGCGATTGCATTTCGTGCAAGATGGCGGCGGAGGTGATGTTGTGCGTGAGTCGATGATGGGTGGCGGGAAAGAGGAAGTGGGCTTGTGGAGCTTCGGAATTGCTGGTTGAGAGTCGGAGGAGGGTTGCTGGGTTGTATCAGGAAGGGTTTGGGGTGAGGTTGGTGAACTCATTTTGGATTTTCGGGTAGGAGGTGAGGATATATTGCTTTGTGATGATGGCCTGGATCTGAGAAGAGGAAAGAAACGACTGTGGTGTTTGCTGATTTGAATTTTCTTGAAGAATTTCGGTGTCAGAATGTTTGCTGGAATTGGAGTTGTACGATTTTAGTATGGTGTGAGTGAGTGAATATGAACTAGCATTGAAAATGCCTGTGAATCATAGAACTTTATGACCCTATTAGTTTACTCAAACCGTGTGAATCTCCTTCCAACTGTGGTTCCACTCTTCATGTAGCTATGAGTAAATCGTCCCCCAGATACCCAGCTAAGTTCCAAAAAATGCCTCCAAACCCCCTCAAAAGCAAGCTTTGCAATTCATGGAGCGCAATCTGCCTTTAATGGATATAAATAGCACAGCACACCAAGTCGGGGAATTTCTCGAGCCATATGGTCCACATACCT